ATTTTTACTTTATTTTTGTTTTTACTACTTACTTTTACTTTAGATTATTATTTTATATTAGTTTAATATGTTTTGTAGTATAATATACACGTGATAAAATCGAACATAAAAGTTATTTGTCTAATTAGGTATACTATACTTGTAATGTATATTCTATAAATCTGATCAGGAAAAAGATAAACAAAATAACCAAAAATTTTCATATTATACTTACTCTTTTAGATACAAACCAATCACAGATATATAAAAGAAAAGAGATAGAGGATCATCAGGACGACATTTAAAAATCGTTAAAGATTTAGTTGGATACTTAAGTTATTAATAAGTTATATATGAGACAAAGTTTTTTTTTCAAAGAACGATAAATTATATCATTAAAACTTAAACTTACGACTACTTATTACAAAAAGCCTTTGAAAAATAAAAACAAAGAGATTACAATAAAGATTACTTGTTTTCAAAGTCCATGACGTACGTTTTTCTTTTTATTAATTTCGCAGAAATTTTTAGCGGATTAAGAAACCGGTAATCATATGCGGGTGAACAAACATGATTTGATTTTTTTTCTATTAAAGAATATTACAATTACAAGCAATGCTATAATCATTGTAAGACCCAGGCAAAGTATAAAATGTAATTGACATAATGAACAGAAATAGGCTGTGGTTAGCTCATACATAGGAAAATCCGTGTTCTCACATGTTAAATTATTTAGATCTTTATAATAATGTCGATTTAATTTGACGAAATTAAATAGACCTACATTATCGCAATCACATATTATTGGGTTCCCACTTAAAGTAAATTTTTTCCAATCTATAGATTTCAAGTAATTCAATTCATCCAACGAAATTTTTGATATATAATTGTTATGTAATTCCAATACCTACAAACAAATAAGAATAATGAATAAATATTATGTAAATATCTCTAACGAATGAAATAAAAAATATTAAAATATTAAGCAACGTATACTTTGAGGCTATATGGTAATTTGTCAAACGTTATTGAAGATATTTTGTTATTGGATAACAGTAAACTTGTAACGTTTATTGGATTAAATGTTTCTATTGATGGTATCTCCGTTAAAAAATTTCCTGTCAGATTTAATATAATAGGATTATTTCTCATAAAAATCACTCCTGTCTCATTGATTAAAAATTTTGACATATTTTTATACGAGCAATCTAAAATACGAATCTTGTCTGCTGGTCTTATATAACAAGTACAATTATTTTGACAATTATTTTCAGTTTTAAAATATTTATGCTCGAGACATTTATAAGTCTTCGAATTCAGTTTACTAATTTCTATCTCGTTCTTTCCATCAGGTTGTACACACGTTAAATTTGTAAATTTAATATTAAAGTATTCGTGAACACGAGTAGACATCTTTCTTTCACGATAACGCAAAAGATCATATAAGGGACAATCACATAATAAGGGATTATGTTCCAAGTGGATGACAATTTGATGGTCCTCCTTAAGCGAATCTACTTTTTTTTCGAACTGATCAAAATGAATGTTATTTATTTTATTATACCTCAGATCGATTCTCATTTTGTGTGACGGTGAAATGAATGAAGACGCCTACAGAAAAAAAGAATAAATAATTCTAATTGTATACGATCTTTGAAACCAATGTATTAACCTTCTATTTTGATCTTATATTTTTTAATCATTCAAATAATATAGATTAAAAGTATTATCTTATAGTAGAATTTGGTATTTACCGTTATGTTCGAAATGGCGTTGTGACTCAAATCTAAAAATCTTAAATTGTTGTTACCACTCGACCAATCATCAAAGGAATAGTATATGCTACTGTTCGATAAATACAATTCCTCGAGATATTGATTTGTATAAAAAACTGATAATTTTCCATTTGCGAAAGTCAAACTTAGCGGATTATGAGAAAACCTCGCAATGCATAGATTTATTAGGGGTGCAAGACCCTCTTCATCGATATATAGTAATTGATTTCTTTCCATATTTAATTCATACAGAGAACCCATACCAAAAAATAGATTTCTAAAAAATATTATAATTTGGAAATAAAATATATTAAAAATGTATTTTCCATAAATTGTTTTTTTATTTACCTTGATACACGAACCATTAAGTTGTCGGACAAATCGAGTACTCTTAATTCATCCATATCTTCAAAAATTTTATCAGGAAGAGTTTCAATTTCATTGTTATTTATAAAAAGTTTTCTAACGTTGTTTAGACCACGAAAGATATTTTTGGGTAAGGTAACAAGAGAGTTATCGTTTAAGAAGATATACTCTAATGATGATGAGCCCCAGAAAAGATTCTCTGGTAAAAATATAAATCTATTATTGTCCAAATGGACATGCTGAAGTTTCGTAAGATTCGCCAAAAGATTATCTGGCAAGGTGCTTATTTGTTTAAAATTACTATCTAGATATAATTCTCGCAATTCTTTATTTTGATCAAAAAGGTTTGCTGGTAAAGAAGTAAAATAATTCATAGATATATCAAGCTTCTTTAAATTTTTTAACCAATGAAAAATTGTCGACGGTAGATGTGATAAAAAATTATTTGCTAGATTCAATTTTTTTAAAGATGTTAATTGATCAAATGTGCCTTCTTTAATTTTTTCCAAATAATTTGACCTAATATTTAAAGACTCCAGATTTGGTAATGTATTAAATGTTCCAATATATATCTTTTCTATTTGACTTGACACTATCCTAATTCTTTTCAGGCTCGAAACTCCAAGAAAAATATCAGGGGGCAGGTTAAAATTATTATTTGATAAGTCAATATACTCCAGTTCGGGAAATGTAAAAAGCAAATCATTAGAAATATCAATTATACCGTTATCAGATAAAACTAACGATTTCAAATTTTCGAATCCTCGAAAATGCTCTATTTTTAAGCCTGTGAAAAGGTTTCTGCAAGATTGGAAGATGAGGGTCTCTGTTTCCGTTACTCCTAATTGTTTTACCACGTCTCTTAAACTAATTCCATTTGGTAATCCACATTTTTCGAAGCTCAGGGATTTAAGTCTTTTTTCGGATAGACGTCCCTTGATATAAAAATTATCCCATGTTTTCCAATTTTTACAAACGATCTGTAATTTTATAAAATTATTTTACTCGAAGAAAATATGAAATTAATCGATTTAAATGTCATAAGATTCAGATAAAATCTCTTTAATATAAAACTATTATTATAGTTTAATTTGCAAAGATATTGAAGAAAATTAGTTGAATAAGAAAGCTTCCGTCTACATACCTGTACAATATTCCTTGATTTAATGTTGACGTTGTACCCTGTACTGTTATCAACATTGCACACAATATTAAATTCCTCTGATTTAATTGACGAACATTCGCATTTTGGATTTGTCTGGCAAGGAGTAGTGTTGATTGTTGTGAATGTAATTAAAAATATGACTAAGATTTTAAAAATCATCTTTTCGTAATTGTCCACTAGAAGAAGAAAAAGCAAGTAAGATACACAATTAATGTTGTTTTCGATTATTTTAATTTTAAAATGAAACCAAAACTGGATATATATTAGGATGAATGTTTGCAATGTAGAATAACGTTTGCTAAAGCTAAGATTTATAATCCTGAAGATCTCTTCTTTTAGTTGTGTTTAAGCATTTTTTTATGGGTTGCTGGGAATTAACGATTTCAAAGCAAGTATTCCACGATTTTTTTTTTTAATCCAAAAATTTTTATACGCTTTCAAATAGCATAAAAGGTAACACATCAAGATATGAACATATCAAATACTAATTTGTTAAAAGGAGTGGTTTCATAAAATATCTTTGCACTCATAAAGGTTCCGTGGACCGAAAAAATATGAGGATTGCAGCTTTATGTCAACATTTTGCGTTGCATATAATATTATATTGTATATTTTCAGATAAAATAAGGCCTTAATATGATTTTCCCTTGCTGATATGTATAATTTATTCGATAAATAAGGAGACTGTAAGAAAGTTTCATTCACTAAATAATAACCAATATATCTACACTTCGTCGGAAAATCAGGTAGAATAATCCTTATACAATTGTCAAGAAACCTTTTATATTGTGCGAAATAAAAGAAAATTCTTTTAGTAAAAATAAAGAAAAAATTCTGACTAAATTAAAAACTAATAATTTAGAACTTAAGTAATTAATAAGCAAATTATAATACTACTGATTCTC